CTGGTACAACTTGCCCCGAGCTGCAACCAGGCTCGCTGTGGTCTTGACTTATCTCACTTATTGTGGATGCTCACATGATTTCCGGGAGAAATATGAGTGAGTTACATTGTGGGTCTGCCCTAGACTCTGCTGAGAATCTCACAGGGTATACAGCATTCACATTGTGTTTCTCTAGGAAATCCTGACTTCGGAAACACCTCTGGTCCCAAGGGATTCAGACAAGGACTGTGGATCTGTATACAACTGTCCACTTATGCTCATGGTGGGGCGGGGTGGGGAGTACCTGCTCATATATTCCTCCTGGGAAATCTTTCTGTAAGGCAATAACTATCACCAGTGGTCAGCGTGCACGTGCTCTTTGACTCTGCCATTCCTCTTCTGGGAATTTTTCCTAAGGATTTGAGGATAGGAATATCCATTATAGCAGAAATCTGATACCATGCTAAAATCTCAAAGCAGGGAGATAGTTAAGTAAAGGGTAGTATACATTCCTTAGATGGAACATTATGTAACCATTAAAATGGGTACTTAAGGCTGATGTGGTGGCTCATGCCTAGAATCCCAGTGCTTTGGGAGGCCCAGGTGGGAAGCTTGCTTGAGCCTAGGAGTCCAAGCATGCCATGAGCTGTGATCACACCACTGCACCCCTGCCTGGATGGGAGAACAAGACCCTGCCTCAGGAAAAAAAAAAAAAAAAAAAAGTGCTTAATTGGTAAATTTAGTAATCTGGAAAAAATATTCGTTATAGCTGGTAAGTGCTGGGCGGTGAAAGCCAAAGTGACCAAATAACACGTACCATGTGACCCAATGTTTGTTAAAAGGAAAAATAAAATGACAACAAAGAACACTGACATTGTGAATCCACTTCCGCTCCTGAAAAACAGGTCTCGGCTTTGCAGAGCTCTCTTCCACAAAAGGCAGGACTGGGCTGAGAACACTAGCTGGCTGCACGGCTATTGATCTGCCCCATGAAGGATGCCTTCCGCCTTCCGTCTTTATGTGACTCGGTGCCCTCCTGTCCCCATCGCTGCCTCTCCTCGGGGGCGGGGGCGGGGAAGTGGCCTAGATTGCCTCGGCAGTGCTACCATGGATTGTAGTTGCAGCACCTTCTGAGGCCTGATTTGGGGTCATTTTAGGGATTTTTCATCCATTTGCTTAACAGACCCGCTTTTTCTTTGCCAGGCACTGTGTCAAGTGCCAGGGATGCAGAGGTGAGTAAGACAGGAGGCTCCGGGTTCTAAATTCCTCGGCTGTGTCTTATGCGTCTCTGCTTGCCTTGCTTAGGGTCGTACCAGGCTCCTAAACAAACGATGAATGAACAGGGTCCCTGTCCTTCAGAAACTTATGTGCCAGGAAAGGGAAACTGATGAGCAGGTTTGTTAAAGTGTTGGTGGTGGCGTGTCCTGGTGGGACACACAGGAAAAAGGACCCATTCCAGAGGGCTGGGTGAGGGGAAGAGTGGGGTGAATTCAGCCTTCATCAGTTTCACAAGTGCTGTCTTCTGGACGGACGCTCCCATTAAGCCTAACTCCATGGTTAACGCCACATACAAAGACAACCAGGCTATTTAGCGCCTCAGAGCTCAGAGAATATGTGCAATGCCATTGAGGAGCCAGGACACAGGGCGCTTGTGCTAGGTTCCTAACAAGGATGGTGATACAGAAGATGATTTAGGCATATGACCATTGCATCCAGTATGTTCTCTTTCCCTTTGCTATCTCTCAAGTCGAGGTGGGGAATGGGGAGAGGAGGACCCCTGGGGGAGTCCCAGGTGGAGCTGTTTTGTATATGGCCATTCTGCTTCCTGGTTCATGATTCAACAGGAAGACACCCTGGGAGGGTCTTGGGCACTGATAGATGATAATTAAAAAGATATTTAGGTTGGGCACAGTGGTTCATGCCTGTCATTCCAGCACTGTGGGAGACTGAGGAGGGAGGATTGCTTGAGCCGAGGAGTTCAAGATCAGCCTGGGCAACATAGCAAAACCCTATCTCTAAAAAAAATTACAATCATTAGCTGGGTGTGGTGGTACACGCCTGTAGTCCTGGCTGCTTGGGACGCAGAGGTATGAGGATTGCTTGAACCCAGGAGGTTGGGGTTGCAGTGAGTGGAGATCGTGCCACTGCGCTCCAGCCTTAGTGACAGAGAGCCTATCAAGAGAGAGAGAGAGAGAAAGATTTAGATTCATTAAAAATCAATCATTTAACAAATAGTTACAAAGTATCTACCCTGCACTAGAAGCTCAGTCCTGATTACTCAACAAGGAACAGAGGCACCCACCCTCCTGTGGTGGAGTCTCCAGCGAGAGCCCCGGGCCTCGTCAAGTGAGAATGCAATGGAAAGTGTAGTTTTAGGCCAGGAGCCCTGAGCACCCTGGGCACTGGGGAGTCTATCTAAGGGGAAATGAGTAGGGAACCCAGAAAGGGGGAGCCCAGGGCAGCTTGCAGCCCTCCCTGTGTCATCCTCCTCACGCTGAAAAGTTCCCTCTTGACTCTTTGGAGGTAGCCAGAGACTGCTGTCTATCTACCACCCAGAAAATCCAGCCACCTGCAGCTTCTGGGTCATCATGCGGTTACTTCCAATCTCTCAAATGGGGTTTCCAATCTCTCGTAACTGTAGCTGACATCGTCGTGCACTCTCTATATGCCCAGCACTATTCTAAGTGGGTCACATGCAGTAACTCCTGTTCAATTCTCACAACATCACTATGAGGTCAGTCCTGTGTCATTCTTATCATACCCATTTATCAGATGAGGACACTGAGATTCAGAAAGTGGAAATAGCTTGTTCAAGGTCTCACAGCTGATAATCTGTGGAGTTTGGACTTGAAGCTAGACAGACTGAACTCAGCACTCATTCTCCTCTTCTCTAGACTCTGACGCCTTTGACAGGCTATATAATACAAGATACACAGGGTCCTGTCCCTATGGATTACAGTACAATGGGGATAACAGAGCAAGCTATAATGATACCAATCTGACGAGTCTCATATGGAAGGTCCTGGCTTGCAGAGACTTTCCGGCTTTAGCACAGAAAGCCTCAAATTCTGGGAGCCTCAGTCCTTGGTAAGCTAGATGGTTGTATTAACCTAGTTGTGTGAAAAGGGAGTCATAAAGGATTATCATTTCTTTGCCTTATTTTGAAATTTACTAATTTGACAGGTGTCACATGGAATTTCACTGCTGTTTTTACATTGCCTTTCTTTTGATCGCCAGGGAGGCTGAACAATGTTCTTGATGCTTTTTAACCAGGTGTATTTTCTAGTTTCTGAATCAGTTGCTCCTAGAATTCATCTGCTGAGGCAGAGGTTCTCAGCCTTGAGTGGGCATCAGAATCAGAGGAGGGCTTCTGAAAAAGCAGATCTCTGGGTCATATCCTCAGAGTTTCTGATTCAGTAGGTCTGGGGTGGGGCCTGGGGCTGGGCATTTTTAATAAGCACCCAGGTGACACTGAGGCTGCCAACTGGTCAGGGACCATACCTGGAGAGGCACTGTGTTTGGGTGTTTTGTGGAAGCTCATCATTTAGTAAAGTGGTTCTCACATTTGCTAAATGTGCACCTTAGGTCAGGTGTGGCATTGGCTCATGCCTGTAATCCCAGCACTTTGGGAGGCCGATGTGGGTAGATCACCTGAGGCCAGGAGTTCAAGACCAGCCTGACCAACATGGAGAAACTCCATCTCTATTAAAAAAAAAATGTGCACCTTAGAATCACCTGGGTAGTATTAAAAAACTCAGATGCTATGGCCCTACCCTGGACCAGGTGAACCTAATCTTAGGGAGCAGAACTTGGGCTTTGCTAGTTCATTAAAAAATTTCTCAAGTGATTTCCTCATCTCTGTAGTCTTAAAATGAAAACCAGTGTGAAAAATCCCTGAGCAGACAAAGCCAGTTATGCTTCATAAGTGACCCTAAACTTCTTGATTTGAAACATAAGCAAAACTGTATGCCTTTTTTATTTTTCTAGCCTTACTTCGCTAGCTAGAACTTCTAGCACTAGGCTGAGTAAGAGTGGACCTCCTGGTCCCTATTTTTGCAGGTAAAAGCATTTAGTCTTTCAAGCATTAAGTGTGTTAGCTATAGTTTTGTTGGCAGATGCTCTTAAGTTAAGCAATGTTCCTTTATTCCCATTTTTTCTGCAAGTCTTTTTTTTTTTTTTTTTTTAACATGAATGCCCATTCAGTATGATATTGGCTATGGGTTTGTCATAAATAGCTCTTATTATTTTGAGATATGTTTCAGCAATACCTAGTTTATTTTTTTTTTTTTTTAACATGAATGGGCATTGAATTTTGTCAAATGCTTTTTCTGCATTAATTTATAGGATCATATGATTTCTCTTCTTTCACCAGTTAATATGGTGGATTGCATTGATTGATTTTCAAATATTCAACTAGCCTTTCATCTGTAGAATAAACTCCAATTGGTCATGGTGTACAATCATTGAGATTTATTGCCAAATTCTATTTGCTAATATTTTGTTAAGGATTTTCACATATATATTCATGAGGGATATTGATCTGTAGGGTTTTTTATTTATTATTACTTTGATTTTTTGTTTGATCGTTTTGAAACAGAGTGTCTCTTTCTGTTGCTTAGGCTGGAATTCAGTGGCGTGATCTCGGCTCACCATAACCTCCACCCCCCAGGTTCAAGTGATGCTTCTGCCTCAGCCTTTTGAGTAGCTGGGATTACAGGCGTGTGCTACCATGCCTGGCTACTTTTTATATTTTTAGTAGAGATGGGGTTTCATCATGTTGGCCAGGCTGGTCTCGAACTCCTGACCTCAAGTTATCCACCCACATTGGCCTCCCAAAGTGCTGAGATGACAGGCGTGAGCCACCATGCCTGGCCACCAGCCTCAGCCTCTTAAGCTCAAGCAATCTTCTGGCCTCAGCTTCTCAAGTAGCTGGGACTACAGGCACATGCCACCATGCCTGGCTAATTTTTGTAATTTTTATAGAGACAGGGTCTCACTTTGTTGCCCAGGCTGGTCTTCAGCCCCTGGGCTCAAGTCATCCTCCCACTTTGGCCTCCCGAAATGCTAGGATTACAGGTGTAAGCCACCGTACTCAGCCCTATCTCTGGTTTTAATATCAGGGAACTACTAACTTCATAAAATGAATTGGAAACTGTTCCCTCCTCTTCTATTTTCTGAAAGAGAATGTAGGGAGATGGTGTGAATTCCTCTTTAAACATTTGGTGGAATTCTTCAGCGAAACCATCTGGATCTGGAGACTTCTTTTTTGGGAGTTTTAAAATTGCAAATTCAATTTCCTTAACAGTTGTAGGCATATTCAAATTATCTAGTTCACATTGGGTGAGTCGTAGTCATTTGTATTTTTCAAGGAATCAGTCCTCTTTAACTCAGCTGTCAAATGAATGTGTGTTCTCAGTAGCTTTTAAAAACTCCCTTCTCTCCGTTAGTTTCTCTCACATTGAAATGAGATGCTGATTCCCTCACAAGCCTTCCCTTCATCCAGATCAAATGACAAAATGCATTATCCTGTGCCCTGACCCAGGAGAGCATCCTCGACAGGCAGAGCCCAGGATGGAGGAGTCCCAGGGTGAACCCACAGAGTTTTGGGGAACCAGCTGGCCTTGGACCTCTCTGAAGAACTCTGGAAGCAGAGGGAACTGGCGATCTTATCAGTCACCTAAGCCTCCCTGGAGAGACCTCCCAGGAAGGGAGGTAGGAGTTCCGCCCTTAGCAGGTTTGAGAACGCTGGGGGCTCTGGATACCACTAGGTGGCGCTCAGAACATACAGTTGCTCTTGGAGTCCACTGGTGGATCCAAGAACCTCTGTTCAGCTAGATTTGGTCTGTGGGACATTTGTTCTTTTTTTTTTTTTTTTCTTTTTCTTACTTCAAGAAAGAGGGGCATTTGTTCTTTAAGTGAGATGCACTTTAGAGTCTAGAAACCGCAAGGACCCCACGAGGTCTGGGTTGGTGGACGTGGTAGTACTTTCTCTGACTTCCCTACTGACAAGGGAGGGAAGACTTGAGAGGTGGTGCCGGCTGGAGGCTCCTGCAAGATGTCAGAGGTACTTACCAGCCGCTGTGAGATAAGTACGCCCACCCGGAGCCTCTGTGTGTTACAAAGTGTCAACAGCCCCGGCCAGGCCCGGGAAGAATCCTAAAGAACGTACCTGGGGCTCCAGGTCCCTTCCAGGCTGGCTCAGTGCCACACCTCTTCCTAATCCTGCCCCCTGCAGAGGTGCTGCGATCTCCCCCACCACATAACCTACACTTTCAGGAAAGAGTCCTCTGGAGTCAGTTGGGAGGCTCAACGTTTTGTCCTGTCTCTGCCGCTAACAGTGTGCCTTGGGCAAGGCTTGCACACATCTTTACTAGATTCTGGACTGAGTGCAAATCCTGACTCAACCACCCACAGCTGTGGTGGCCTCTTAGGAATGTTACTTCACCTTCATGAGCCTCAGGTTCACATCTGTCATATGGAGATAATAAAGACACTCATCTTATTGTGTAGTGAGGTTTTATTTTTAATTAATTAATTAATTAATTAATTTTTTAGACGGAGTCTTGCTCTGTCGCCCAGGCTGGAGTGCAGTGGCTTGATCTCGGCTCACTGTGACCTCTGCTTCCCGGGTTCAAGCGATTCTTCTGCCTCAGCCTCCTGAGTAGCTGGGACTACAGGCACATGCCACCATGCCTGGCTAATGTTTTCGTTTTTTTTTTACACCACACCTGGATAATTTTTAGTAGAGATGGGGTTTTACCATGTTGGCCAGGCTGGTTTCAAACTTCTGACCTAAAATGATCCACCGCCCCCACCGCGGCCTCCCAAAGTCTTGGGATTACAGGTGTGAGCCACTGCACCTGGCCTTTTATTTTATTTTTTTAAGAGCCAGGATCTTGCTCTGTTGCCCAGGCTGGAGTGCAGTGGTACCATCATAGCTCACTGTAACCTTCAATTTTTGGGCTCAGGTGATCCTCCCACCTTGGCCTTCCAAAATGCTGCGATTATGGGCAGAGAGCCACCATGCCAGCCACAGAAAAGAGTAAGCACTGGATGGATGTTGGCAGTTATTATTTTATCGCTAATATTATTATGGTTTTTGAAACATAGTCTCACTATCAACCAGACTGGAGTGCAGTGGCACAATCACAGCTCACTGCAACATCTGCCTCTATGGCTCAAGTGATGTTCTCCCCTCAGCTTCCTAGGTAGCTGGGAGTATAGGCGTGCAGCACCACACCTGGCTAATTTGTATGTGTGTGTTTTTAGTAGGGATAGGGTTTTGCCATGTTGCCCAGGCTGGCCTTAAACTCCTAAGCTCAAGTGATCCACCCACCTCGGCATCCCAAAGTGCTGGGATTGCAGGTGTGAGCCGCCGCACCCTGCCCCCCCTATTGTCACTAATTTTTGTACTGCTCCCATCCCAGCCCCAGCGTAGGTGTACTTGTTTTCTACTGCTGCTCTAACATATCACTGCAAGTAGAATGGCTAAAAACAGCACAAATTTATTCTTTTACAGTTCTAGAAGTCAGAAGTCTGTAATCAAGGTGTTGGCAGAGCTGTGTTCTCTCTGGAGACCTCAGGGGAAAATCCATTCTCTTACCTTACCCAGCTTCCAGAGGCCGTCCACGTTGCTGGCCCTGTGACCCCTTCTTACATCTCTCCAAACGCTAGCTGCCATCACCCATCTCCTGCTGCTAATTTGATCCTCTTGCCTCCTTTTAAGGATCTGTACCTTGGACTCAAACAGGTAATCCAGGATAGTTTTCTCATCTCAAGATCCTTAATAACCTGCCTGCAAATGTTCTTTTAACATGTGTAGTAGCATATTCACAGGTTTCAAAGATTAGGAGAGGGATGTCTTTGGGGGACATTATTCAGCGTAGCACACTGGGAAAACAGATCCAGTTCAAAATAAATAAGAGCTGGAAAAGGGTTTTATCTCTATATCCCCAGTGCTATGGTTTGAATGTTTGTGTCTCCTCAAAATTCATACGTTGAAAACTTAACCTCCAAGGTGATGGTATGAGGAGGTGGGGCTTTGGGGAGGTGATTAGGTTTAGATGAGGTCACAAGGATGGGGCTCTTATGATGGGATTAGTGCCCTTATAAAAGCAGCCACAGACAGACCTTTGCCCCTTCTACTATGTGAGGACACAGTGGGAAGGCACCATCTAGGAACCAGGAAGAGGCTCTCAACAGATACTGAATCTGTTCTTGGACATCTAGCCTCCAGAACTGGGAGAAATAAATTTCTGTTGTGTATATGTATGAGCCACCTCATCTGTGGTATTGCATTATAACAGCCTGAATAGATTAAGACACCCAGAGTCTAGCACATTGCCTGTTTGGCCTAGAAGGTACTAACTTACTGAATGAATGAGTATTGTGAACATTACTGGTGCTCACCAATACCCAGCTCTTCTCTCCTTCTTTGGGTGGGGGCACATGACTAGTGACTAGCTTTGGCCAGTGAAAGTGAGCAGAAGTGAAGTGTGTTACTTCCAGGCTGAGTCAGTGGAAGCCTCCATGTGACACTGCAGCCTCTGTCCTTCCCTGCCATGATAAATGTGGACGCCTTCTCTTGAGACAGACTGAAGCAGCCTGGATTGTGAGTCACTGCATGGAGAACAGGCAACCTGGATTGTTACCTGCACTTACCAAGAAACAAACTTAGGAAATCTGGGGAATGCTTTTCACTGTAGCATAGCCTGCATCTATCCAATGCAGCGAGTTAATGGAACTGCCCAATCTTTAAGGTCCAAATCAAAATGATGTTATAGGTAGAAGAATCAGCCATACAACATGCCTAACTAGTGGTCTTTGGCATACCCAGGTAGCTGGGCAGTTCTGTCTACTTCCATGTTTTGTCCAGTATCTAATATTGTATAGCTTCTCTGCTTTGGTTTCCTCGTCTGTAAAATCAGGAGAATAATAGTACCTGCTTGAGATGATTGTTGAGAGATTATGTGATTTAATGCAGATAAAGCATTTTAAACAGTGCCTGGCATATGGTAAGACTTAATATATGTTTGTTATCATCATCACCACCATCATAACCACCATTATCATCACCCCATCATCACCCCGTCATCACCCCCACCACCATGACCACCACCATCATCACCACCATGACCACCATCTATACAACCATCACCACCACCATCAATACCACCATCACCATCACCAATACCACCATCACCACCACCATCACCACTACCATCAATACCACCATCACCATCACCATCACCACCACCATCAATACCACCATCACCACTACCATCACCATCACCATCACCACCACCATCACCACCACCATCACCACTACCATCACCACCACCATCATCAATACTAACATCACCACCATCACCACCATCACCACCATCATCACCACCATCATCACCATCACCGCCACCATCATCACCACCATTGTCACCATCATCATCATCACCACCACCACCATTACCACACCCCCATCACCACCATCATCATCACCACCATCACCAGCACTCTCACCACCATCACCATCACCATCATCACTACCACCATCATCACCACCATCACCACCATCATCACCACACCCATCATCACCACCACCACCATCATCATCATCACCATCATCATCAACACCACCATCATCATCACCATCATCACCATCATCATCACCATTGTTATCAGGAGGAGGAGCAGGAGAAGAAAGAAATCTTACTCACACTTCCAGTGTGCAAAGGAGAGAATAAATTTGATCAAGTTTAGTAAAGATAAATGCTAGTAATAGCAATCTCACGTTGTCAACTTTAACTATGAAGCCAGTAGAAATTAATTTTAAGTTTGGACTTGGAGTTTCACACCTGTAATCCCAGCACTTTGGGAGGCCAAGGTGGAAGGATTGCTTCAGCCCAGAAGTTTGAGACCAACCTGGGCAACATAACAAGACTCTGTATCAAAAAGGAAAAAAAAAAAGTCAGATGTGGTGGTGTGTGTCCTAGTCTCAGCTACTAGGGAGGCTGAGGTGGAAGGATAACTTCCCAGAGGTCAAGGCTGCAGTGAGCCGTGATCATGCCACTGTACTCCAAAGCAAGATCCTGTGAAAAAAAAAAAAGAGAGAGAGAAGTCTTACACATTGTCATGTTTTTTCCTTTGAGACCATCAAGCTTTTTTCTCCCTCCTCCAACCCTTTAATAGACTTATGACTAATTAGAAATCTTTCTGGGAAAAGTAAGAGAAGCTGGGAAGTGAGGAAGATAGCCTATGAGACCTTAGAAATAAATTTCTATGTAATCAATATAGTTCAATAATTTCCCAGAGAGACTGGCTTCTCTACCATGCTATCAGTCATAGTTTCAGCCAGTGAAAGCGAGGAGTATGTTAGAAGCCCAGGCGACAACTTTAGGACTCTTGGCTGCTTTGATGTAGTTGCTCAGTGAAGCTGGACTGTCCATTTAAGAAATCATTCATTCGTTCGCCACATAGTTGTTGAGCACCTGCTGAGGGCCAGGCACTGTTCTGGCCAGCTCTGGGGTGGGACTGGTTGGGGCCTAGGACACTCCCCACCCCTTCTTGTGATTGGTTCAGAAATAGACATGTCACCTGTACCGCTGAGGAACTGTTTGCTGGAGGTCCTGAGAAAGTTCCTCTCTTTTCCACAGGGCAAGAAAGAAAATGAAAATCATTTAAGCAGTAGGTACATAATAATGCCACATGCAAAAACTTTTCATCACAGCATGGCCGGCAACAGTGAATCACTGGAAGAAATCAGATTTTCATAAGTGAGCTGTGGTATCTCAACAAAAAGCAATGCCATGCTGTTATTTAAAATAACACAATGACTATAAAACATGAAGAAATGTTTACATAAAGATACTAAGAGAAAAAATTATGCAGAAAACTATATAGATATGCTCTGAAGAATTAAAATGAGAAGGTCATAATTAACAAATGGAAGTAATGTCTTTGTAAGACTGCTGGGATTATGAGCAGTTAAAAACATCCTTTGAACTATTTTACAGTGGTCTCTATATTTTATTTCTTCTAAAGAATCCTCACAGTAATTTCTGAACAGGTAAACCAGTTGGTTGCCATTTTCTAGGACTTGCTCGGTGAGCGCATTACTTCTATTTCACTGGAAGTCACTCTCCAGTCTTGAGGATTCTAGCCTTCTGATGAAGCCAACGCTGATTGCGGCAGAGAGAAGGTACAGAAAGGGACGAGCCTCCTCGGGATCTCCGCAAGCTGCTTGACCATACTGCTGGACTCTTCCGGGTAGCTGGCAAATTTCCACATTATTTCAACTGGCTGGGACTGGACTTGTGATTGAGGCAGAAAGCATCATACCCTAAGCCCTCCCCATAGCCGCCCTCACATCTTTGATTGTATGTTAACACCACTACAGAATCAATCAAATGCATTACCTTGCAAAAGTTGTTGAAAAAAGCCCCATTTGGAGAAGGTGTTCTGTGGAAGCAATCATTCCTTACGCTCCCCTCTCCTGCCACATCCCCCGTTGCATCTTTTGCCCATTGTTTTGCTACTATTTTTTTTTCTAGACCTGCAGCTCTCAAACTTTGGTTGCATCAGAATCATGGCTGGGAAGTCTGTTCTGTAAAATGCAGATTTCCAGGTCTCACTTTTAGAGCCTAGCCTAGTTCAGTGTGAAGTTCAGGTCTTCGTCGTCTGCCTTGTCACTAAGCTCTCCAGGGCACTGTACTGCCGCCAGATTTGGGAACCGCTGCTCAGGTGCAACTCTATTTCAGATTGTGCCGGGGAATCACAGGCAAGGCGGCCCAGGGCTGATAAAGAGACGAAGCTGATTGAGGGGAATCAACATCATGCTTGTTTCTTACTCCTACAGATGCACAATGAAACATATGAGTAAAAAATGACATTTCCTTTGAGAACAGCTTGGACAGTGACCCGAACAGCCCAAGAAAAACCTCAGTGGACTTACATGAACCTGATTTGGCTCAAAATTAAGCACCATGTGGAAGATCTTGCCCTTGTGAAATGACAAATTGAATGTGTTCAGAAATTGCATTTGAACTAGTTGAGATCCTGACCCAGGTTAGTGGTTCTTTACCTTACCATTCAATAAAGGGGTGACATTGATGATTCAACCATTTTAGCAAGCTTTATTTGCTCTATTTATAATGAGAATGTAATAATAGTAACATTTCATTGATTCTAAGCTGCAGTTCTATCCCCCACCCCCCAACCCACATACATTTTTAGCAACTGTGTAATTAGGATGTGTCTTAAGATCAATGTCTTACAGTCATTGACACAAGGTCATAACATGGTTGTCATTGTCGACACCTTCTGGTGAGATCCAGAAAGACCCAGGAACAACATTTGCAGAATGAGTGTTGGCAGCCTGGGAGAAACCTCTGAGACCTCAGTGTAGCATCTTTGTGGGAACACTTCCTCATCAACGCCCTTGATGGCAAAGGGTGACTTTGTGTTGAAGGATACACATAATGACAAGATCAAGGTGAAAATCACAAAGAAAATTTAGACTCTCCGAAAAAGTCTGCGGAATAACTTAACCCATCTTTTTTCACTTGATTTCCTATTTTGAGTGCCCAAGGGTGACAGATGAGATATCTAAATAAGTCTAAAAAATTACTCTCAGTAAGTCTTAAACATTTTAAGAGATTGAAAAAAGTCTTATGTCATAATTTAATTAGTAGCATTTTCCATTTGCTTCCTTAGCAATATATAAAATAATGGTGCATGTTATAATGAACAACATATTAGATGCAATGAAATACAGTAACAGTTCACACACATAGAACTTCTGATCTGCTGTGGGTCAGTACTCCATTCATGTTAACTCATTCAAGAGCCCATTTTATAGATAAGGAAGCTGAGGCACTTGGAAGATACAGCCACACAGCCAGAGATTGGTAGAGCTAGGTGGGATTCCAAGCCAGGCAGTCAGCCCTAGGGTCTCTATTATAGCATCTCACCTAGAGATGTGCTACTTTGCAATGTGTCAGATAATAGCTGGTGAATTGTCAACCAGATTTGTATTTTAACAAGCATAGCACTGATTAAGAAAAAAAAATGTGGCCAGGTGCGGTGGCTCATGCCTGTAATCCCAACAGCTTGAGAGGCCAAGGCAGGTGGATCACCTGAGGTCAGGAGTTCAAGACCAGCCTGGTCAACATGGTGAAACCCCATCTCTACTAAAAATATAAAAAATAACTGGGCATGGTGATGCTATTTATTTGGGAGGCTGAGGTAGGAGAATCACTTAAACCTGGGAGCCTATTCAGGAGGCTGTAATCCCAGCTATTCAGGAGGCTGAGACAGGAGAATCACTTGAGCCCAGGAGGTGGAGGTTGCAGTGAGCCGATATTGTGCCATTGCACTCCAGCCTGGGCAACAAGAACAAAACGTCATCTCAAAAAATAAAAAAGTGCAAATATGTTGTGAAAATGAGGCCAATTGTGTGACTGGCAAAATAGCAGAAGAAGAAACATGCATCAAGGCTATTTATCACCCAGAACATCCCAGAAGTTGCTGTTTCATTTACCTATGGTCTCTCACACCAGAGTGTTTCTCATTGTGTTCAATGGGGTGTTGAAAAGAGTAGAAACAAAAGTAGTTTGGGTCTTGTCTTTTCTCATAACTTATATTGAAATGGGAAGTGACTTTAACTGATGACTTCTGCACAGATGTTTGCAGCCTTTTTCAAGGGAGGAAGCAATCTCAGTTGTCAGGGACTGAATTCAGGCCTGAGTTATTATTGTTTGCCAAGTATTTAACAGACATTAGGACAAAGAGTAAAAATGTGAATTTAGTGTTTGACCTAATGGGAAAGCCTGGCTCTAAATACTGTATTTAGCAGATTTTTTAAAAGACTCAATTAATGCAAATTTTATATTTTATTGCTTTTATTGTATTTTACAAGATTGATAGGATGACAGTGAAATTTGGTATATCAATGGCCAGAATTGATTATGGAGACTGAGTCTTTGGAGGCTTAATTCATTTTCAGGTGACAAAAGGTACAGCCTTGGTGATAAAACAGAACAAAGAAAAATCAGTCATTTTTGTTCATGGAAATATCATCTTTTGAAAACTGTTCTCCGAGGAGGGGAAGAGAGAGAGAGACAGAAAGAGAGAAAGAGAGACTGGGATCAGAGACTGCTAAATTCTACCATTTGATACCAGCTTCTTGCTGTCTAAGAGGATGCTTATGGAATTAATATGGTTTGGCTGTGTCCTCACCCAAATCTTTTTTTTTTTTTTTTGAGACGGAGTTTCACTCATGTTACCCAGGCTGGAGTGCAATGGCGCGATCTCGGCTCACCGCAACCTCCGCCTCCTGGGTTCAGGCAATTCTCCTGCCTCAGCCTCCTGAGTAGCTGGGATTACAGGCACGCACCACCATGCCCAGCTAATATTTTTGTATTTTTAGTAGAGACGGGGTTTCACCATGTTGACCAGGATGGTCTCGATCTCTTAACCTCGTGATCCACCCGCCTCGGCCTCCCAAAGTGCTGGGATTACAGGCTTGAGCCACCGCGCCCGGCTCCTCACCCAAATCTTATCTTGAATTGTAGCTCCCATAATCTCCACATGTTGTGGGAGGGACCTGGTGGGATAAATTGAATCATGGGGGCAGAACTTTCCCGAGCTGTTCTTGTGACAGTGAATACATATCACGTGATTTGATGGTTTTATAAAGGGGCATTCCCCTGCACACGCTCTCTTGCCTGCCACCATATAAAACGTGCCTTTACTCCTCCTTTGCTTTCCACCATGATTGTGAGGCCTCCCCAGGCATGTGGAACTGTGAGTCCCTTAAACCTCTTTTTCTTTATAAATAACCCAGTCTTAGTTATGTCTTTATTAGTGTGAGAACGGACTAATACAGGAATGTCCATGGGTAGGAACCTTGAAGAGGTGCATAGTACTTCCTCCTTGACAGCGCTTTCTCCCCAAGATTCCTTGCTCTCTGCCATCTGCCTTCCGTACCCAAATGTTTATGAGCATCTGAATTTTCCAACTATTATGAAAAGAAATTGCCCTGAATCTGCTATGCGGTATGCACTCACTTCAATTCAGCACACATTTTCCAGAATTTCTTGGTACTTTAGCGTTGCATTCATTGACTGAAAAAAAAGGTAAAAATTTTTAAGAAAAAAATGTATAAGTAATTTAAAGCATTATTGTTGCATTAAGTTCAATGCAGCTACATTACTGGGAAAATGTGAAATCTCCGTAAATCTTAAAGTGAAAACTAAGATGAGCAGATACATTTCTAGCTTCCTGGTCAGCTTCAGTCTAGACCTCCAAGCCCCCAGGATTGAGTGATCATTTTTGCTGCCCCGGACAATACTGGTGTGGAAAAGTTTGAGGAGCTCTATGTTACAAAGAGTCCCTTGAGCCTCTTGGCCATTGGTCATTAAGCAGAAAAATACGCCTGGTTCCTTCTGTCCTTGGCTGCCTCCCATTGCCATGACCATGGTCTGCCCATTGGCAGGCAGGGTCTTTTGGAGTTAAGGGCTTCCTTGGCAGAATGTTCCCTGTAGTTTTAGACCAGGAGGTTCACTGAGTGTGGTTTTCAAGGCTAAGTCAGAAACCACCCTAGAATTTTGAGACTGAAATGGAGGCTGTTCTTTTGCCCAATCTCACCTGGTTTTGGTGTAGGAGGGGTTAGGAATGGGTAGTAGGTGGCTAGAGCTGTGATGGTCTCCATTTAGGACACTAGTGAAACCAACAGAATCGGTACTTATGTGTGCATAGGTAATGAATGGAACCTTTGAATTTTTTTTTTTTTTTTTTGAGGCAGTCTCCCTCTGTCGCCCAGGCTGGAGTGCAGTGGCACCATCTCGGCTCACTGCAACCTCTGCCTCCCAGGTTTAAGTGATTCTCTTGCCTCAGCCTCCCTATTGGCTGGGACTGTAGGCAGGTGCCACCATGCCTGGCTGATTTTTTATATTTTTAGTAGAGATGGGGTTTCACCACGTTAGCCAGGATGGTCTGTATCTCCTGACCTCGTGATCCACCTGCCTTAGCTTCCCAAAGTTTTGGGATTACAGGAGTGACCCACTGCGCCCAGCCAGATGATGGAATCTTTGACACTCTTTGAATAAGGTGTTCCCTTAGGTTTTTAAAAGAAGAAAAGATATTTCCATGTATTTTAACATTTATTCATTCAACAATTTGTGTGTGTGTGTGTGTACTGCACTAGGCCTGGGGAATACAACAGCAAACAAAACAGGTAAAAACCGCTGCCCTCACAGAGCTTACATGCTAAGAGGGAGAGAGAGCAAATTTAAAGGACGATTAAATATATGGAATGTCTGATGGTGATTGGTGTTATAAGGAAATGAGGAAAGAGGTGTGAGAGTATGTGTGTTAGTGGGTGAGTTGCAATTTTAAATCAGATGGGCAAATGCCTCTGAACAGGTGACATTTGAGCAAACCACTGAGGGATGCTGAGTCAGTTGCTTTGGTGATGCAGCCTGCTGGGCTGCCTGAAGGATCGGATAGAGGATGTGAGGGAAGGTGAGAAACTGAGGGTGACTCCAGGGCGTGGTAGGCAGTGTATGATACAGCTCAGTCATCCCCAGCTCCTGGTATTCATGCTCTTGTGTAATTTCTTTCTTCTTGAGTCTATGATGGACCTAGAGACATTTTTTTTTTAATCATGAATAGATTATGGCAAAGCTGATAGGATCTCATTTCTGTGGATACATCACCAAGATTGTGACTTCTGTCTTGCTAGCAGATTCTCTCCATTGCTTTCTTGGCTTGCACACTTCAGTGAGGCAATCTGCCTTGTTGAAAGGCCCACATGGCAAGGAACTGAGGAAAGCCCCTGACCAACAGCCAGCCAGGAACTGAGGTTGTCAGTCCAACTACCCCGATGAACTGAATGTTGATCCTCATGAATTTGGAGTGTGTTCTTCCCAGTTGTGCTGTGGAATGAGAGTGTGGCACCAGCCAACAATGTGACTGTCCCCTGAGAAAGACGCAGAAGCAGAGGGGACAGCTAAGCCAGGTATTTCACCCACAAAACTGAGATAATATATGTGTGTTTTTTAAGCTGTTAAGTTTTGGGACAATTTGTTATGCTACAATATATAATTAATGCACAAGATTTTTGGCAACTGGAAGAATAAAATTAGTATTTAGTATTTATGATAACACAAGATGAGTGTAGGTAGAAGGTTTCTTTATAGGAAGATTGCAGGTTTTTTGGTTTTGTTTGTTTTTTGGGATGGAGTCTCACTCTGTCGCCTAGGCTGGAGTGCAATGGCGCGATCTCCACTAACTGCAACTTCTGCCTCCTGGGTTCAAGCGATTCTCCTGCCTCAGCCTCCTGAGTAGCTGGGACTACAGGCACCTGCCATCACGTCTTGCTAATTTTTGGATTTTTAGCAGAGACAGGCTTTCACCCTGTTGGTGGAAATTCTTGCCTTAGTGTTTCCAAAGTAGAAATTCTAACCTGTGAGTGGCAGAGACCATGCTAGATCTTCACCAAACCTGTTTTCCTTTCCTCGATGGCCCTTGGAGCAACCACATATGCCAGTGTGCCCGCTGTTATTGAGGGGCCAGTTCTAGGGTGGCCTCTGACTTAGCCTTGAAAACCACACTCCATGAACCCCCTGGTCTAAAACGATTATTAGGGTTAGGGCATCACATACTCTAACCAATAGCATGTGATGACTCCTTTTTCTGCACCTGTCAGTTGGGAGCTGAGAATTCACGGAGAAGCTTCTAAGGCTCCAGGATGATGAGCTTTTAGATGGAAGGAGCCAGGGTCCCTGAGTGACTTGGTGAGAACCTCCACCACCTAATCAGCTACGCTGGCCATGATGTGAGTGAAAAATAAATGCTGGGCATGTTGCTTTTATAGCAGCTACCATTCCTTACCCAGACCCATCTACCCAGCATTTCCCAGTGTCTGATACAAGAGATGATTTAAGTGTACCCAAGCAGTTAAAAATGTTCACGTGTTACACATTTGTTTTATAGGTATGCTTTCTTGATGTATTATATGTTTGTTTTCTAGGTATTTCCTTGTTAAAAAAGAACTGTAGACTGAGTGGCTTAAGCAGCATTTATTTCTCACAGTCCTGGAGGCTGGAAGTCCAAGATCAGGGTGCCAGCAGGGATGGGTTCTGGTGAGCGCTGTCCCTCAGGTTGTAGCCTGGCAACTTCCTGTTTTATCCTCACATGATGGAAGGATGGCTAGAGAGCTCTCTGGGTCTCTTTTTTAAAATTATTTATTTATTTTTATTTTACTGTAAGTTCTGGGATACATGTGCAGAATGTGCAGGTTTGTTGCATGGGAATACATGTGCCATGGTGGTTTGTTGCATCTATCAACCCATCATCTAGGTTTTAAGCTCCACATGCATTAGGTGTTTGTCCTAATGCCCTCCCTCCCCTTGCCCTCATCCCCTGACAGGCCTTGGTGTGTGATGTTCCCTTCCCTATGTCCATGCATTCTCAGTGTTCAACTCCCACTTATGAGTGAAAACATGCAGTGTTTGGTTTTCTGTTTCTGTGTTAGTTCACTGAGAAGGATGGCTTCCAGCTTCATCCGTGTCCCTGCAAAGGATATAAACTCATTCTTTTTTTATGGCTGCATAGTATTCCATAGTGTATATGTGTCTGGGGTCTCTTTTCTAAGGATGCCAATTCCATTCATGAGGTCTCCACCCTCCTGACCTAATCACCTCCTAAAGGCCCTACCTCCTAATACCATCCCATTGGGAGTTAGGGTTTTAACATATGACTTTGAGGGGGCATACACATTCAGACCACAACAAAGTATTAAATACGCACACACACACACACACACACACACACACACCCACACACACCCCTACCTCATCAGTTTTATGATTTCAGAGATATTGTCACTTAGGACAAGGGTTGGTTTCATTATGCGAGTTGATTAAAGAAAAATATCAAGTAAATCACAGAATCACAGAAAAGGTGGCAGGTGGGAATGGCAAAGATTTTGACAGTGGCACACACCCCGGCTTACTCTCTGCAGTTATTGTGAGGCTGAAATGACATGGTGTATGTGAGGTCCCGCTCCTGAGCTGACCCAGGGGGCCGAGGCAGGGTGGATTGCTTGAGCCCAGGAGTTTGGGACCTGCCTTGGCAACCTGGCAACCCCCCATCTCTATGAAAAGTAAAAAAGTTAGCCAGGCATGGTGGTGGGCACCTGTGGTCCCAGCTACCCAGGAGGCTGAGGGGGGAGGACTGCTTGAGCCTGGGAGGCGGAGGCTGCAGTGAGCTGTGATTGTGCCTCTGCTCTCTAGCCTGAGTGACAGAGTAAGACCCTGTCTCAAGAACAAAAAAAGGCCCTCTCCTGGTCCAGCGCATAGTAAGTGTGTGATAAATAGTATCTCTTATCTTGTAGTATGCAACCTGTGTTACAGGACAGATCCTACCACCTCTGGTTTGCCGTTTACTTGCTTACCACTCTTCATCTCTGAATCTCTAGTAGTAGCTCCATGCCCAGGACCTAATGGGGCCACATAAATGGAGACTGAGTGTTGATTATTAAAGGGACCTAACATCCTTTCCAGAATCAGATTTGAATACAGTGGGCTATGAGCCCTGGGTAGACAAGGACTACTGACCGAGAGCTGTATCCCCAGCACCCAACCCAATACACAGCGCTCAAGGAATATTTGTTATTAATGAACATATTTATTTGAATTCTTCTCATAGACTCATACACTGTCCAAACTGACCTGAGTCTTGAGAAAAATATGTCTTAGCTGAAGAAGAGGAAAGTGAAGTATGAAGAAGCAAAGTGACTTCACAAGGTCACACAGGTATGCGAATGTGCCGTGGGGTTTTTGAAAGTCACATGGGATGTGAAGCAGCTCTTTGCTGTGCAAGACTGTCCCAGGCATTGCCTGCCAGTGCCCATGAAAGCCAATAGTGTCTCTAATCATTGTGATCATCAGAGATGCTCTGGCAGATCTCCAAAGCATCTCATAGCGACATAGGGAGTGTACCCCCCTGGGAACTGCAGATCCAGCCTGCCCTTCCAAATGGATGAAGAAACTAAGACCCACGGAGGAAGACAGACTTCCTCAAATGATGGAGCCAGCATTTGGAACAAATTCCTGATAATGCATTCAGAATCTTTCTTCAGGGCCAGGCAGGTGGCTCATACCTATAATCCCAGCATCTTGGGAGGCTGAGCTGGGAGGATTGCTTGAGCCTAGGAGATCAAGACCAGCCTGGGCAACAGAGCAAGACTCCGTCTCTATAAGAAATAAAAAAAATTAGCCAGACATGGTGGCATACACCTGTAGTCCCAGCCACTTGGGAGGCTGAGATGGGAGGATCACTTGAGCCAGGGAGGTCACGTGATTGTGATCTGGCCGCTGCACTCCAGCCTAGGTGACAAGAGTGAGACCTTGTCTCAAATTAAAAAAAAAAAAAAGAAAGACTTTTTCTTCAATCATTGAGAGTAGGGCTTGTTCAGATCATAAAGGAAGCTCCTGGAGGGACGGGCTTGGGGCTCATCAGGACTCAGCACCCCAAGGTGGTGCTAAGGCAACTCCCATGAGCTGATGAGCAGGGGAGCCCCTGGGATGCTCTGCCTTCTGCCCCGTGCCTTCTCCCCTGTGGCTCAGCCCTGCCTGGGGAGGAGAACCACATGGGGAGTGGGAGAGTGTGGGCAGAGAGAAATCTGCTCCCAGGCAAAAGCTGGCACTGACTCCTAACAGAACTGAGATTAGAGTGTGTATTTTAAAGCAAATAAATATTTCAAGACCTGAGAAGGGAGATGTTAATGGCTCCATTCAAATTCAGCGGAATTTATTTTCCATTAGGGCTGGGCTTTCTGAGAAGCTTAGTTCAATCAAGGTTAGACATGAAAACAGCACTGTGGCTGAGTGGACACCAAGTTCCCTCCACCACTGCACGTTTCTTAATTAGAGCTTCCAACCTACAGCCTACTGCCGCCCTTGGCTGTCCCCCACACAGAAGCGCTAGCCTTTTCTGCTTTTTTGTGTGTGTGTGTTGGATAAGATTATTTTTTCACAATCAGCGCTGAGATGACCAACTAGCCAGGCTGTCCCATGTGCCCGCCGCCTCTCCATCCACGGAGATTCATCCACCGGCCCGCCACCCAGTAATGAGAAGTTTGCCTTGCCCTTTAGAACCATTATTTTAAACAATGAATGGTGTTTGCAGAAGTGAGATTGCGAATAGAGATTCATAATGAGTAGCTCCAGCAATAATTACTTATTTTCTATATTTATCGAAAATGACTACATACAGTACTACTGTTTTCTCTGAAGAGAAAAATGCAATAATTATCACTATCTACTTTCCCATTTTAATAACTTGCAATTGCCATTTTTTAATTACTAGGGCAAAAAAGATGGTTACCTCTTAGATGAGATGGCTCTCGTGTCATGAAGAATGCTCTTGCACACTAATATCAGTGACGCTATGTGCAGAGAATAAATATAAGGTGTTTGGGTTTCTTGCCATTCAATCTATTCGTTAGGCCTATGACAGAAGCAGCAACATGGGGTTGAAATGGTTTGTCTTCAGAGCCATAGGGAACCACATCTCTTAGCAAAGGTGATATAGTCCAGTAGCACATGTGTATTTATGTCCAATGATGTACTGATAAATGCTTAACAACCAGCTTTCTGGGGTGAGGGGAAGGAGCTCTATGTAGCATTGGTCAATTACTGTGGTGTAAATCCTCCCATCATGGCAGATTTTAAGATACTAACCCTACATCGTGAAATACACATTTGGGATCAGAGGCATGCAATTAACACTCTCAAGCTGGAGTCAGCCAGCTCCAGCACATCCCTGGATATTAATTCTATCATTTATTTATTTACTTGTTTATTTATTTGAGACAGGGTCTGACTCTGTCGCTTGGGCTGGAGTGCAGTGGTGTTATCTTGGCTCACTGTAACCTCTGCCTCCGAGGCTCAAGTGATCCTCCCACCTCAGACTCCCGAGTAGCTGAGATTATATGTGCGCACCACCACACCAGGCTAATGTTTGTATTTTTGTAGAGACAGAGTTTTGCCATGTTGCCCAGGCTGGTCTTGAACTCCTGAGATCAAGCAATCTGCCCACCTCAGCCTCTCAAAGTGTTGGGATCGCAGATGTCATCCACAGTACACATATTTATTGAGGGTCTCTTGTGTGCCAGACAGTGTCCCAATTGCTGATGTGAC